CGCTCGCCGCCGCCGCCCTCCTCCGCCATCTCTAGCCTCCCCCTGCCCAGGGCCTCCAAAGCGCTGCCCTGACCCGGCAGCCCCGCCGTCACCGCGGCAACGAGCTCTGCCAATCGCTTCTCTGCACGGCTCATTCAGCCCCGGCCCCAACCAATCACGCTCTCCGTACAACATACCCTTGCACCAGTCACCTCGCAGCTCGCGGGCCCCGCTAGTGCGCGGAGGCTGTTCTCCTTCGCGCGCGCCCCCAGCTGAATTGGCGAGCAGGCGGAGGGCCAGGGCGCCGAAGCGCCAGAATGTCGGGTTCTGTCGTGACGTCACCGCCACCCCGGGGCGCGCGCGTTCAAGCATGTGTATCCGCTCACACGCCCGTGCCCGTTCACGCGGTTACGCACCCATAATCACCTCCACACACGTGCACCCCCATTCATACTCCCCACACAGATGCACCGACTGTCACTCCGAAACACACACGCACTCTCATTGACGCCCCCTCACACGCACCCCCTATTCACGCCCCCTCACAGGTGCACCCCTATTCACCCCTCCACGCACGCACCCCCATTTACACACACCCTCGTTCCCACACGCAGACGTCCACACCCATTCCCACACACACGCAGACACACACACCCATTCTCATATACACCATTTATACACACACATTCCCCTATTCACATAGCCCCACTCAAACGCCTGTATACACGCCCGTTCACACGCACCTTTCACACACTCGCACCCTCACTGACAGCCTCATTCTCTTACATTCATACACAAACACGCACACCTTCACACAAATACACATGCCTATTCACACCTCATTCACACACGTCACCAGTCACACACAGTTCTCTCACGTTTGGGCATCCAGTCACACAAAGCATGCACACACAAAAACACGCACACCCATTGACACACACGCACACCCATGTACACACAGAACCATTCACATGGATACCAACAAACGTGCATGCACACCCACTCACACACACCTGCACCCATTCACACACATGCACATGCATGCCCATTCCATACATGCACACACAAACATGCACTCATATACATATGCATGTACACCCATCCACACACACTCCCCATTTACACACACGCAGACCCATTCAGACACACACCAACAGCCATACATACACACACAAACATGCACACCCATACATCTATTCACATCTCCCCATTCACACACGCACACTCCCATTCACACCCATAAAACATTCACACACACTCAGGCACACGCACCATTCACATGAGATGTACTCCCACTCACACACACATACACAGGCACTCCCATTCACACATTTTTCACACATGCACCTCCATGGACACACAAACCATTCCCACAAACATGCACACGCAGGCCCATTCTCGCACACAAACACACACACACCCATTCACACATGCACCCCACAGACGCACACGCAAACGTGCCATCATGCCCCCGCATTCACACATGCACACCCCCATTCACACCTGTTCACCCCATTCACACACGCGCGCCCCCATTCGAAACACACCCATCACACACATGTGCGCCTCTTCACATACACAAACCACTCGCGCAGGCGCACACATAAAACAAACACGTGCATTCATTCACTCATCCATTCACACGTGCGCGCACCCATTCACGCCCCCAGTCACACAAACGGGCACACCCGTTTACACATGCGTACATGCACACCCGTTCCACCAGACCGAGACACGCCCATTGACGCCTTCTCACACCCCCCCATTCACATGCATACGCGCGGTCGCAGGCACCACTCACACCCAAACACACAACAGTACACACCCATTCACTCACACACACACACACAGAGTTGTTGTCAGCTCATGATTTTTGGCGTTGGTCTTAAAGTCTACGCTTCGGGAATGTGAAAAACTTCCCTCTTTCATATATATAATGGGTGTGTGTGTGTATAATGTATGGATGTATATGTACATATATGTATGTATATATATACACACATGTATACATATAATACATATCATATATAAAATATATAAAAACGTAGCTATATATGTATATGTATAAAATAATATATATTATATATATAAAATATAACATATACAAACGTAGCTGTACACACACACACACGTATATATGACAGGAGTTACGTTTGTCTCATTCCCGAAGGGTCGACTTTAAGAACAACGCCGTAAAACCATGAGAGTTGGCAACACCCAGGCGGCGCTGGCAGGAACCGACCCAGGTGAGGGTGGAAGAGCCGGTCTGCGCCAGGGTCACAAGTGATCGCCCTCTGCTCCCTGCCGCCGTGGTTGGAGGTGTGGGGGATGGGACGGTGCGAGCTGCTACTTCCAGCCCGGGCAGCTCCTTGAGTTGGCAGCCCGCTGCTCCAGCGCAAGGCTCGGCCGGACCGCAGGTAAGTGCCTAGCACAGCAGGGCTGGGGGTGGGCTCAGCAGGTGCTCTCGGGCCGGGGGGCCGCAGCTTTCATTCCTCTTTGGAAGAGGACAGAGAGCAGAGCTTCTGTGGCAGAGATCCCGGCCCGCAGCACAGAAATCTCTGCGTTTCCCTCCTGAAATAGGTTTGCTGCCTCAGTGTGTGGCACCCTGCCTCACCCTTGAAAGGATTTCAAGGCACCCCAGGGTGCTGTGGTGCCCTGGCTGAGTTCCTGCTGGCAATCATCTCCAACCTTTGTTTTAATGAGTGCTTCCCAACTTCAGCAGCAACTGATTAACTACTACATAGTTTGGAAGCAGTTTTTTTTCTTTCAAAGACAAAACAAACCAGGAATAAACCAGCAAAAAAACAAAATAAAACTGGTTTGTTTAGCCTTTGATTTATATAAATCAAACCTGTACACTAAGGTAGGTGAGGAATAAACCAGGAAAAACAAACAAACCGTGGTTTGTTTAGCCTTTGATTTATATAAATCCAGCCTGCATGCTAGTGTGGGAAATAAATAATCCAGCCAAACAACTATGCTTTTTTTAGCCTTTGAAAGAAAGAAACCTGCTTCCAAACTATGTAGTACTAGTTAGCTGCTGCTAAAGTTGTGAAGCACAGAGAGAGAGCGAGAGCTCGCTAGCTCTCTCTCTATATAGATAAATCTCTCTCTCTCTCTCTCTCTCTCTCTCTCAAATCAATACATTCATAGCCTCATTTTTATTTTTCTCTTTATCCTTTATATATAAAAAAAGTTAACTCTGAACTTTCCTCTCATTTTACTTACTGGCAACTTTGCATAAATGATGACTCAAATCCCAAGGAACAGTAAGGGTGTGTCTAGGTGCCTCCAGATAGGAGCTAAGTGTGCACTCCAATGTGCACTCCTTCCCATCTAGGCTGCAAGGTGAGGTGTAGCACATGGGACAGGCTTTACCTGTGAGAAGAGTTGGCACCGGCACATGCAGACAGGTTATGTAAATGGATTTTAAGGTAGCACTCAAGGTAACGCACTTGACAGGCAGACTGACTGGAAACCAAGCCCTAGAGGTTTGTGTTTTCCAGAAACTGATTATAAGAAGGGGGAGGGAGAGGCATGAGTTATTGTTTGAGATTCTTTGTGGGACGTGTATAAAGTGAGATTGCTGGGGCAAACCTAACCCTTGAAGGGAAGGAAGAGAGAGCTATTTTTGCAGGACAGCAAGGCTTGGAGGGACAAGCTGTTTAGCTGGCTTTATACAGACAAAACCCTGATTGTTTTGACCAGCTATGGCAACAGGAAGAGCAAGCCAGGGCAGTGTGGATGGGGTGACCACATTTTTCAAAATAGAAAGGTGAGACATGCCTGCAGTGCCCTCCTGCCCGCCCTCGCCAGCAGCATGGCCAGAGCAAAGCTGAGTGGAGCAGGGATGGATGCAGGCTGGTTGCTGCAAGCTCGGGGCTCCCCATCCTGCTGCCTCTCCCCTGGGAGCTCTGTGCCAGCCATGTGCCCCCTGTTCACCCAACAGTAGCTCTGTCCCGCTCCATGCCCTAGCTGCAGGCTCCATGTGCTGCCCTGGATAGGCAGTGCCTCCAGCCCTGGCCCCTGCCCCACTCCCTCCGTCATTGTGGGGGCCTTGATCTGCCCCCGCTCCCCCAACCATGCCCCACCCCCATAGATTTACCTTCAGGGAGCTGCTTTCCATGCTGCTTGGCTGTATTCTCACTCAGGTGCATGTGTAGGGGCATGTACACACATGTGGTGCCCCCTGCATCCCACCCCCAGCAGCCCCAAGCAGTCCCTTGCAGGCTGGAATGCTGCCAGCCTGCAAGGGAAAACCTGTCATTTTCTGCGGTGAATGAAAAACCTGGATTCCTGCACATGATACTGTGACTCTGGGACAAATGCTGTCCTGGAGTCATGCAGCCTGGGACTGGGACTTGATGTTCCCATTCTGGGACTGTCCTGCCCAGTTAGTGATGGGTGCTCACCCTAGGTTGGGGCCAATGTTTTTGGTAGGAGTGTCACAAATTAGCTCTGTACCCAAGTGCTACTCCAATCTCCTTGCCCTGCCTGATCAGCTGCTCTGCTTTCTTCCCTGTCTTCCCTGCGCTGCCTGTCCCCTTAACTGCCGTGTGCTACACATAGATGCTGCCGGTGCCTGGCCAGCCCTGAGCTAGAGTATAAACTTTTATAAATGCTCTGTGGTGCCATGCACACCATTGTTGCCACTTTCCAACTCATTGCTGCCCCTTGGGTTATCAGCTTCCTAAGACTTCTGAATGTCATGCTGATCAATATAAGTCTCTTACCTCATCTGCTTTCTCATGCCTTCTGCACAGATCACAAACAGTTTAGGACTGATGTTCTCTGGTTGCCCAAGAACAGAATCTGGGCATCATCCTACTGACAGTTCTTTTCTACTCTGGAAAAAAATGCTTTCATACTGTTTCTGTGGCACTGAAATTTTGACCCCACTTTTGTGCGTCTCATTTGGTGAGCACCACTGAAGAAAACTACCAAGGTTGTACAGGTGGCAAGTCACAGTATTAGAAGTGTTTGTCCCCTGAGTAGGGTGGCCATCATAGAGGACAGTCTGGTTGTCCTCTATTGATATGAAATTGGACGCCTTTATGTCCTCTATTTTTCTCTTGAAGAAACAAACAGAAGCTGGTCTCTCACCCATTAACTCCTCAGTCTACATCTTCACTGACTGCCTGTCTTGTACGCATACCAGCCCAGCCTCTGGTGTCTTTACTTTTCATTCCATCCAGAAAGAGCACACACCAACTGCTGAAAACTTTCTTAGCCTGACAAAGGGTTTTTGAATGCAAAAGCTTGCTTAAAAATTGTTTTCCAACTATTTAAGTTGGTCTAATAAAATATAACAGATTCACCCAAAGAACCTTGACTGCCTATTATCAGCAATCAGCTTTTTTTGGCCCATATAGCCAATAATGTCACCAAAAAATGCCATGTGCATATGTGCAGCTGCAACATGCACACAGCCAGGAATAGAGCCTGGCAGCATGGAGAACAGTGTCCTGGTAAGTCTGTGGGAAGGAAGGGGCATAGGAGGTGCAGATTGAAGCCCCCACGGTGAGAGAGGGTGGGTGTGGGGCAGGAGCATGGGCTGCCCAGCTCAAAAATATTGAGAGGCTGGGGGACACGATTTAGGAGGAGAGGCTGAGGGAACTGGGCTTATTCAGTCTGGAGAAGAGAAGACTGAGAGGAGATTTAATAGCAGCCTCCAACTACCTAAGAGGGGAGGGGGTTTGAAAGAGGATGGAGCTAGACTGTTCTCAGTGGTGGCAGATGACAGAACAAGGAGCAACCGTCTTAAGTTGCAGCAAGGGAAGTTTAGGTTAGATATTAGGAAGAATGTTCTCACCAGGAGGGTAGTAAAACACTGGAACAGGTTACCCAGGGAGGTTGTGGAAGCTCCAACCTCGGAAGTTTTTAAGATCTGGCTAGACAAAGCTTTGGCTGGGATGATATAATTGGGGCTGGTCCTGCTTTGAGCAGGGAGTTGAAATAGATGACCTCCTGAGGTCTCTTCCAACCCTAGCTATGATTCTATGATCAGGGCTGCTCAGTGCCACAAAGCAGTGGGGGGACACCTGCAGCTGGACCCATGTCCTGGTGACAGAATGGGGCAGGGGGCATAGGAGGAGGGAGAAAATATTATTGAGGTGGGGGTTGAGCTCTCCCTCACCATTGGGGCCTTGATCTGCACCCCAACGTCTCTTCCCCATGACAGACTTGCCTGCTGTGGTGAGAAGTGCTCTACATGCTGCCAGGCTGCTGCAGGCTGCAGCTGTGTGTCTGTGCATGCCTCTCCCCCACTGGCTGCAGCTGCCTGTGCCCAGGCTGCCAACACTGCCCCACGTTTGGGCTAAACCCCATTAGCCCCAGCCTTCTGCTGCCAATGGCAGGGGAAGCTCTGATTTTCCATAATAAAAAAACCCTAAAATCAAACTCCGAAATATATAGGTATTTAGAATTTATTTTATTATAATGCTTGAGACACTGGTAGGCTCCTAATTGCTTTAAAATTGTAAATATATCAATAAAACATTGTGTTCCACTGATACCTATATATAAATATATATATACAGAGAGAGAGAGAGGTGTTTCATTTTAATTGTGCAAACTTTGGGTTTTTAATGAGTTTTGGATTTTTTATAAGAGAATTTGGGATTTTTAAACAGAAAACCAGGAACCCTGCTAAATGTGTGACAGACTGAGAGAGGGGCTGACAAAGGGATTCTGGGTGGACTGTTTGGGGCCCTGTCTGTTGATGTTTTCCAGGTATTTAAAGCCGGTGAAAAATCTGGAATAATTGGAAATGGGAAAGAAAGATACAGCTCAGCTGCTGGAGTGAAAAGAAAGTTGAAATATATGCAGCATAGTGGCATGACTTGAAAAAGAGCGGGTGTTGAGGGAGACTGTGTCCAGTGGGCACTATCATCTATCATGCATCTTATTTAGATGGGCTGCACTAAGCTATCCTTGTATGTTCCCATCAATTTTTGTGGCAATGGGGGGCTGCTTTTGTGCTTTCGTTCCTCCTCAGTGTTTTGGCTAGTAGCAAGCAAATGCATTTTTTTGCACCAGGTGAGGGTGTTGGAGCTTGCTCTGGCTTCTCCAAGTGCCAGCCTAGGAACACCCCCCCCCCCCCATTGGCTGCATTTAATCAATACAGAGTTGGTTTCCATTACTGAGCACATGCTAAGATAGACAATGTATTTAATGCAGTTTCCTTGTATCGGAATGTAAGACTTGGAAGAAAAAAACCTTGTTTTGTATTCAAATAACTGCCTCATTGACTACCTACAAGCTTTTTGAGGTTACTTTATTTGTAAAGCTCTTCAAAACCTTAACAGTTCTAATTCTTGAAAATTTTACAAGCTCTTTAATAATCTGTTGCGAGGTTACTATCAGAATAAGACAACAAGCTGAAATGCTTTCTGCTAAGTAAAACAAACTAAACCAG